GCAGCACGCAAACGCAATAACAAACATTAGATTTTCTTCGGTTAGTTCGGATGGTTTGCACCACTTCTTAGCAAATTTATATGAAGCTTTCATCAGTTTTCCATCGCTATTCCTTCAATGATTTGCTCCAGCAATGTAAACGCAGAATAAGATCATTGCTTTCCCGAAGCTTGCGAGTGGAAATTGCTTTTGTAAAAACACGAACTCCTTGAATTTATAAAAAGATCCTACCTTTTTGTCTGTCTTTGAGGATATTCCATTTTGTCAGTGCCAAAGATCGAAAAAGAGCACCAGTGACGTAGGAAGCGTGCAAAAGGTTACAAGCTTGGAATCTTTGTTTATAGAGTCCATAAACAATTTACAGCAAGTTCAAAAGGACAGGCTAAATTCGGAACAGGAAGCAAAGAATGCAAAAAAAAAAAACAGTAATAGTGTACTACTGCTTGATCAGAGCGCTTTTTCTCCTTAACACCTCAGCAAGAATAGTAGCAGCTTGAACGGTCTGAGCGCTTTCAATAACTTATCTCACTACAAAAAATGACAAAAAATTAGAACATTGTGCGATCATATACGACGATTCCAAGATAAAGAATGATAGAATGGATAACAATTTTGAAGGAAATCACCGTAAACTCTCAGATCAACTAAGATCTTGACCTTTTCGTGGTTTTCTGTCTTTCTTCACCTTACAGCTAGGCTGCGTCTAGAAGTGCATGTGCTAGCGCCGTCTGCCACTGATCGATTAATACGAAAAGCCTCCACTTTGGCGCTGGCACTGCAATGGCACAGTGCTGGCACACGGACATTTCTGGATGCAGCCTCACATGCTTACTTTTCTGAAATTTTTGCGCGACAATGGATCATGGTTTTGGGTTTGACATACATTTGCTGTTATATATGAATTTTGGGTATCACCTTTGCGATAAAAGATTCCTTTCTCAACTATTCAATTTCTTCCATCCGGATTGTTCCCGCTTATCTTGAAGCTGTCGTCAAAGTGAAGCTCGTTTCAAATAACAAAACATCTTTTGATTTCGGAAACCTCTCCTTAAGGCAAATCCGAGTGAACATCACTTTAAGCTTTCCTTCCTTTGAAAAATAATATACAGCCGGTGTTTAAACACATTCACATCAAGCAAGACTAATCCTAGGAATGAAAATAGTGACAAGGTGGTCCTATCCTGAAGTTTAGTACAAGGAGAGAAAAAAGAAGGAAAATGAAGGAAACACGAGAAAGAGACCTGAAGAAGCAGGACAATCAGCATTAGCAGAAGAAGTTGTTTAGACTTTGTAAAACATCTATATCAGCTGCAGTCTTAACAAAAAAGAAAGGAGGAACAAAAAAGGAAAAACTACTTCAAAAGAAAATTTTATCTTGCGTCATCTAATAGCCTGTTTTTGTCATAGCAATTTCTTCAACGATCCAATCCACCACCTTCCGTTTTTCAGAAAGGGGGGGGGGTTGGCGTTACCAATCTGCAAATTACGATTCTCGTCACATCACCCGGTCCATTTTTCTTTTTGATCTGATATTTTTCTTCTTGAGCTCACACACTTTTTTTTCCTTTAACCACTCGCAAGAGCTCGTAGAAAAAATGCAACCTGTAATAGTTCTCACAACAATATTGAAAGTCAGTTCTCAAAATTCTTGTCATAATAGATAACTTGCTTGGTCATTCTATCAGGACCCACGCTTTTGAAAGTGCGATGCCACTTTAATTCTTTTGCCTAGCCATTTGGAAACTCTTGAAATGTTTCTTCTATAACGTCTATCTCTGTTGCATTCATCTAGCACTAGTTGTAGATAGAATTCATTGAGGGTTGAAGAACTTTCATTGCCAAGTATAATTATTGAAAGATTGGATTCAGAAACTTACATTTTCATAATGATGCACGCGGCAAGAAAAAAGATTTGTAACTGAAGCTTTAAAATTCAGAATCATACGATCTGACCAAAAAGTGCCAAATAGTGTTAGTCTGCTATTCCTGTAAGTGTTTGCCTAGTTCAAACTTCTTTTTGAATATCAAAGCGAGCAATAAACGATCTGAAAGCTATGGTGATTGTCTTGGCGGATAGCAAACAAGGAAAAAAGCGATCAGGGAGTAATATCAATCGATATTCATAAATCTTCCTTGAGATTCTCATATTGTACAGGAAAACAAACTTTATTACAAATTAGTACACAAAATTGTACATAGTCACAAATCTGCTTAGACTTAGTGCAATCACCTTTGCTTTTTCTCCGAAGATGACATTTAGGTCCAAACCATAACCTTCTTGCCAAAATAACTTAACAATATTACAACTAATTGATTTTGCTCTTGTCGTTCTGAAATGGCCAGCTAGGTGCTGTCGTCTGATAATTAGCTCTAAATTATGAGACTTTTTGGCTACTCGAAGATGAGGTGCATGATGAAGATAGTTTACAAGAAATGATTAATCACAAGTTTCATCTATAAATATTGACCACAACGCCTATAAAAGGGGATGCAGATCAGATGCGAGGACGTGTAAATTTACGCAAAGGGTCCAACAAATCGGCTCAAGATCTTTGGCTTCAGCTCATGAGAAGGTTGTAAAGTATTGTTTTACTTTCTAGAACAAAATTACATGCGTGAAAAAATTGAAAATGGTTTTCGTCGAAGATTGAGAGACTAGATCCGGTATCCCATGTATGCAAGATCTTTTGTTATTATTGCTGATAAAAAGTAACAACAATTTACTGTAACCAAATTCAGAGAAAAGCTACCGTATTCTTAGACTGGATTTACAACGCCTTTCATTATTATTACAAGCATTATCAAAAAAGTCCACTATAAAACACTTTTTCCTCAAATCTAACTCTCTAGATAATTGGTGCTAGACATATCCGCCAAAAGAAAATGTCTGATAAATATGCATTGCCATAAATTATCTCGAGTTTCCAGAAAAAAAGGTTGTAAGGACCTGGCACGTGGCAGATTTTAAGGAACAATCGTGTGCATTACGAATTGGATTCCCATTTAATGCAACTAGCCAGTCCTTGGAATCCACACGTGTCTCTATCACATTCTGTGAGATTTAGAACAAAGAGTATTTCAAAGAATAGACGCAAGGATTTTGAGCGAATTTTAGCCGTGAAGAGGGAGAGCAGGGGTGGGAGCAGGCTTTGCATATAAATTCTATTGTTTTATTGTATTATCTCTTCTATTATATTACAGCATTTTATTGCATGTACTAAGGTCTAGAAACTGAGCAGATTGTATTTATGCCTGTAAACTGTTGAACAACGGCAACTGCTCTAGAATTTGCTCAGGTTAAACTTTCTAAATTTGCAGAGTCATATGTTTCCTTTTTGTCGATGCTTATTTTGTGTAAAACTAACTTTTCTAAACGGATTTTGTTTTTGAAAATAAGTTGTACTTTACACTGCAACTACCGTATCCCACTTTATTACAATACCGCACACAACAAAGAAAAGATTCCGCAAAAGCTATTTTTTAGAGAAGTTATGGCAAAATTGTTCAAACACTTCCTTCCTCAGGCAGCAGTGGTATGAAAAGTTTGGAAGAGAGTGAGGGGGGGCTAAAAATTTTCAAATGGAGGGAAGGGCGTGACGTTAGCTGCATCTTCAAAGCTTTTTAGATGGAACCCCAAAATTTTACAAGGCTAATGCAAAATTCAAATAAGTTTTCGGAGTTATCTTGCTCATTTCTCAAGTGAACAGATGTTACTTGCGCAAGTCCGTAATCATGCGATCTACTTTCAAAAATTTCGAAACGCCTTCGTCCTCCTCGCTCCTCCCACCGCGGTCCGTCGTTGTACCTAAGTACTTCTCGTAGCCCTGATGCAAACCAAAAAGCACTTTTCTCTGGTAGAGTTACAAAAAAATATTTGAAGAGCTAGAACCGAGCCATGCTTTAGAGCACATGATTTGCGCCTTTTACAGAAAAGAAACATCTTGAGAGAGACCTGCAGCTGGGCTATGCTGGTTCATCATCATCTTTTGAGAAAAAGCTGAAGGCTTTATTTCAGCATATTCAACACCAAAAATCTCTCCTATTTCTGATCTTATCTCATTATTTATAGCATTGTGGCGGCGCCCAATGGCCGGAAGAATAGATAGAGATTTGATGGTGATGTGCTTATAATTTTCACAGTGTAAGCAAACCTACTCTTCTTGAAGGCTACTCTGAAAATTTTCAAATTTGACGGTTTTATCACGATAAAAACATGGCAACGAAAAAATCCGCCGTGTTTCAACCAAGTTATAAGCGGTTTTGTGTCCACATGCACTAGAGCTACCGTTTCGTTAGGTATTCCCTATGAAAAGTAAGAATAGCACAAATTCGTCTAAAGAGGATGGCTACGTGCTTTTACTTGCAGATAATTAGATTTTCTAAAAGTTTGCAAAAATTCGAATTAGCTTCGTTGCCTCTACGCCCCCCTTCTTTCAGAACTGCAAGTATTTGGAAAGCATCCAAACCTTTAGAAGGCCTGGCTAATCGTGGTGTTTCATCATTCGAAAAGAATTCCTCATCCCTCCTTCCCTTCTCGCGAAAAAAAATTCTTGGACCACCATTGACCCAAATTCCGCGCAATCTCCCATTTTAGCTTGAAGCTCGAATTTTTTCTAATTTCATTAATTTATGCAATTTTATCAATTTCACTACGACATCGAAGCGATTGAAGCCTGAAACGGTGTGTTTGGTCGCAAAAACAACACGATGAATGTTGAGTAGGGGGCGTGGCCACGCTATGAGAATCCAGCATTTGCTAATGCTCACTTTCAGAACCCATCTCGTCCCTCTTCTCACTGGGACACTACTGGCCAATAAATTTGTCTCTATCTCAGTGCTGGCAGCGGATGGTGTAACAGATTTATGCAACGCGCAGGATTATCGGTAAGAGCCACCACATCAATAGGCCAGCATCCTCCTGAAAATGCAATAGATCTCATGGATAGGTTCCGCACTTATTTGAAAGCTGAGACACAATTCTTCTCAAGGACATCGGGAACATGGACGAGGTTCCAGTCACTTTTGACATGTCTGGGAAGTATACAGTGGACAAAAAAGGAGCACAAGACATCACTATAACGACAACAGGTAAGATTTAGCCAGTTAAAACATTCCTAATCAGTCAGTTTAGGAGGAGAAAAAACCAACTTTACGGTCGTCCTTGGTGTGACTGCTGATGGCAACTTCTGTCCACCAATGGTAATATTCAAGAGGAAGACAATCCCCAAGGATACCCCGGTTAGCGCTGCATGTAGGTCTCAAAATCCACTTATTCTTCTGATATGAATTTCAGGAGTTGTCGTAAATGCGAACTGTCGGGGATGGATGAATGAGGTCCTCATGACTGATTGAATTGAAACATGTTGGATGGCGCGGAAAGATCCTGCAACTTCCCCAGAGCAAGCCGTACTCATTCTTGATTCGGCTCGATGCCATTTGAGTTCGGAAGCCAAAGAAGCTTTACGAAGGAGAACGAGGATCGCCGTGATACCAGGGGGCTCACAAAAAATCTCCACTTCAGAAATGGCGACCAGAACGTCCCCGCGACCAGGGAACGAGTTAGTTCGATAAGCCAGAGTGCGCATACCGCATACAGTCAAGATGTAGGGTCCCTCAATGAGTCTGCGTCTTAACCTTAGCGACAGGCGACAAAATAACCGAGAGCTTCTGGAAGAGCCCGTTTTCGGCGTTTTCGTGCCCTCCAAGCTGCATTTTCGGAGTCAGTGGGAGGAATAAGCCCAGGTAAGCGAAAAAAAATTCCATTCGAATTTTTCCCGGACGTTGCCTTTAAGGTGGAGGTTTTTAGTTGCCTGTATGATTTCCATTATAGGGCTAAAGGAAAACATATCAGAGCACCAAGTCATGGGACAGATATTAGTGACTGAGGGAAAGAATAAAATCTTAACTCCATTTTAAAGCTGGATCTCAGAACTTGAACACAGCAAAGTTGGACTATTGAGATTTACCCTGATTTGAAAAAAAAGGGCAGCAGAATCGATTTTTTAGCAGCTCTCTAAAATTATAACGCTAAATTTCCCTTTTGAATGTATGTCGCATGGAGTTGAGCTCGTAGTAAAGTATAATATATGACTACATTATTTTCCATGCGGCTACTCTGAGCATCTTACAATTCAAAGAGATCTTGGGAAGTGGTTTGGTGGCATGGGTTGTGGCATGGTTTTGTTGTTCAGATGCTTTTTCGTGCTGAAATCTAAAAGTAGACTTTAAAAATCTTTTCTGAACTGTACAGCTAATGGACGAACGTGATAAAACATACACAGTGCTAATATGAATAGAAATAAAACAAGTCGCAAAATTCTGATTGACCATATCGATTAGCTCGCAACGAAGTTCGATGGGCTCAGCCTTTCGAAAAGATAGCTGAGGTTGCAAAACAATACTGGTTTCACCAGCTGTATAATGCATACTTTTTTCTCTAAATTCTTTCACTTCAGTAGTGGAGTGAGACACAAGTTTCAATAAAAAAACGGCATTCATCAAGAAAAAAGTAGAATGTGAGTCAGGCCTTTACAAAGAAGGTTGCCAAAGGACATTGTGTCGTGGAAAAACGCCTGCACCTTCAAATAAAGGGCAAGCACTGCACACAGACCTCATGATCATGGTGGCACCATATCTTCTTCTTTTCCTTATTAGCTCACAGATTCAAAGTCAGAAACTTACAACGGAGGAAAATGAGCTCAACCACAAAAACTGCGGTGTTCATTTCCTAGGTATGAACACTTTACTTTGTTCTCTGACTTGTACGTCCCTGCTATTTTGAATAATTTCAGGACAGCCACTTCAGAAAAATCGTCTGGTCAAAAAGTCTTACGGAGGCCGAGAGTTTGAAGAAAATGAGTATCCTTGGACTGTAGTTTTGAGACATGGTACGATACACATTGTGCTACTACAGTACAGTTATGTGGCAATCTTCGTTCATTTTTAGAAGAGGCGGCCTGCAGTGGTGTTCAGATATCTCGACGAAATATTCTAACAGCTGCTCACTGTGTCTTGCACTTCGACGATGAAAAGAGCTACGAGTTGTGCGCCATTAACCAATCACAGAGGTTGGCAGTAATCTCGTTTTTGCGGAAAGTCGCTTATAACGTGATAACTACTGTAATATATTGTCTATGAAAATTTAGCATTGTTTCTGCCCTAGCGGATCCAGAAGAGATGTCTGCTCTCATAGGCGGAGGGAAAATGCGATGCCACGATATTCCTTGCCAACACAATAAAACTCTGTATAGAGCAAAAAAGGCAGATTTTTATGTTGGATAATTCAGTCTAAACCAATTCATATGCTTTAGATCACATCAAAGGAATTGATTTTGTGTAACTTTAATGATGATTTGGCACTCATTGAACTCAGCCGAAATATCTCGGAAAGCGATTCGACACCCATTTGCATGCCCGAAGATGATTACCAGCTGAATCCTGTCCTATACGCAAGCGGCATCGGATTTGATCGTGAGCGAAAGAGCAAAACTACAGTTTCACAAAACATTAATCTAGATAGTGTAGAAAGTGAATGTGTTGTAGGTACTACTCAATAGCAGCTCACATACTTACCTTCATGCCGAATCTTACGATCAATTCCAGCTTCAAGCCCTATCACTTTTGACAATCCGATGGGCGATCATGCACATGGACAGCAAGTAGTAGCACTTCGCTACCACGCAGTCGATCAGTTACTGCACCAAATTGAGACAGTGACATTTGCGAAGACATTATGTCCAGTTAAATCTTTCTAATCCCTTATTTTTCTGCTAATAAGCGCTAAGTTAAATAAGCTTAGGGGGATAGTGGAGGTCCATTGTTTCAAATGGACGAAGAGGGACGCCACATTCTTGTAGGGATCAATAGTAACATAAGCAGAAGTTGCACACGTCACAGTGGAAGTACGCCTATCAGAGGTCTAAAAATTCAATCTTTTCAAATCTTGCAGACTTTGCGAACCGCTTCACTGATGTTCGTGCGAATCTGGATTGGATCTGCAAATACTCAGGTCACAAAAGAACTACGTATCCATTTTGAACTTCTTCTCCTGTTTCAGGTGTGTGCCCAGTAGAAGAAGAATCGCGATGGACTGAAGGCGCCAGACCACTGTATGCTAGTCTATAGCATATTTGATTAGAGAGATTTTTTTGGCTAGACTGTTATGAATATCCACCACAGTCAAAACTCATTATAAGAGATACTCTTACAGTTTTGTGAATAGTATTACTTTAGCAAAGTAAACTCATTAGATATGTGCGATGATAACTCGCCGCTGATGAACACAGCAGGAGTGTGACTGTACTGATGTGATCGACTATCGGCTCTGATACGAAATCTAAATAAGACTTCTCAGAAATGTTGAAAGAGAATGAAAGAGGAATTCCATTTTCTATATCAGTTATAGTTTGTCCCACTTTACTGTTTAGCAAAATCAAAATGATACTACGGAGGTTTTTCATTGCTGAAAATCGGACTGTTTGACTCGAGAACAATGAGGCTCCTCATAAATTACACTGCATGAATTAAGCGAAATACAATATTTAGGCGGAGAGCCTTTCCGATGCACCTTATATATGAGCAAGTTTTCTTTTAGTACGTTAGCATTCCAAATTCCGGCTCTCAGAAGCTCACAAAGATTTTACGGAGTAAGCTATGTACCTTGAATGCGAATCTGATAAAACCTAGTAGATTGTATGGCAAATACGGGTCCCCTAAAGGCGCAAAAAAATGTCATGTTTACAACGCGGATGTGTAGAACTTTCCACGGTGCGCACACTGACATTGTTTAAGCGCGAATAGTGTCGCTACGCAAGAGTACTATATTAACGTCCAAATCTCTAGCTAGCTACATATTTTCTTTCCTGAAGTATGATCTGTTTGACGTGCGCAAACAAACAATGCGCATTAGCAAATAAGAGGAAGGGGGAGCAGAAGTTGCTTTAAGATATTAATGACCGATCTTTATTTGAAACTACATCAGGAGATCGGTTATTACATCAAACACGATGTTCATTTGTGGCACTGAAAAAAACCCAATATGATTGAAAAAACATTTGCTCTAGGAGAAATTTCTTTGAGTCAAACTGATTGGTTTTCCAATATTGTGCAGTTCGTTGACCCACAAGTGGTCCGAACTATACATATTTCTTCACAGTAACCACCCACCCTGGTTTTCATTATTTAGCAGTAGCATTCTCTTTCGCATTTCTTTCCTCCGACATGACCTCACCCATTGCTGTGCAAAAGTTCATGATTCGCCAAGATTCCACCGAAGACAGTATGATATTTAGTAGTTGAAATTGACGATTTCTTCCGCTGGCATTTTTATATAAATGGAGTGGATAGTTCAAATTCGGCCTTTGAACTTTCCTCATAAATACTGGCAGGAATCACACCTTTGTGCTGATCTGTCCACGTAAAACCAGTTACTATCTGTACCGTTTATAAAACCAATTTCACGGCACTGCAAAACAAAATGGTGACGACAAGTGCGGAAAAATTTGTATCAAGCTCAAATTAGCTTTCGTCCTTTTGACGTGACTTGAAGGTCACCTTTTTCACGAGGTAAGGCTCACAATGGCCCATCAGGAGCATGATGTGCAACATAAATCAAAACTGACAAGATTTTTTTGGCATTGTCAGCGCTCATTTGATAACTAGGCTTGATATAAGAAAAACTTGAAAAAGTATTGCGAAAATAGGAAATGAGAGAGGCGAGCAGAAAGCTACGCGTATAATATATATTACTAGCTGGCTTACCCGGCTCCGCCGTATCCGGACCAAACTTGGCACACATACACTTCGGGCCCCGGCGGGTGTCACAGTCCACTTTTCGTTATCGATCGATGTCGATTTTACCGATTTTTATCGATTTTTTGGCAGAGTTCACCTACAGGGCTAGGAGTTGGCACAGGGGGGAAGTGAGCATGGGGATTCCGAATACAATATTAGTTTTCAGAATTATCGATTGCTTTTATTGATTTTATCGATTTTTTGGCAGAGTTCACCTACAGGGCTAGGAGTTGGCACAGGGGGGAAGTGAGCATGGGGATTCCGAATACAATATTAGTTTTCAGGATCGTCCATTACTTTTATCGATTTTATCGATTTTTGCAAAGTTTGACCTGCGGGGCTGGGAGTTTGCACAGAGGGTAATCGAGCATGCAGATTACGAATACAATATTAGTTTTCAAGATCGTCCATTACTTTTATCGATTTTATCGATTTTTTGAAAATTTGAGCTAGGGGGCTGGAATTTGGCACAGGGGTGTTCGAGCATGCTGATCACCCCCCTTGGGGATGATCAGCATGCTCGATTACCCCCCTGTGCCAACTCCCAGCCCCGTAGCTCAAACTTTGCAAAAAAATCGATAAAATCGATAAAAGTAATCGATAATCCTGAAAACCAATATTGTATTCGGAATCCCCATGCTCGATTACCCCCCTGTGCGAACTCCCAGCCCCATAGCTCAAACTTTGCAAAAAAATCGATAAAATCGATAAAAGTAATCGATAATCCTGAAAACCAATATTGTATTCGGAATCCCCATGCTCGATTACCCCCCTGTGCCAACTCCCAGCCCCGTAGCTCAAACTTTGCAAAAAAATCGATAAAAATCGATAAAATCGATATCGATCGATGACGAAAAGTAGCCTATGACACCCGCCGGGGCCCTTAGTGTATGTGTGCCAAGTTTGGTCCGGATCGGTTCAGAAATGGAATTTTCTATTCGGAACATACGTACACACAGACAGACAGACAGACATACAGACAGACATACAGACAGACAAACAGACATTCAGCTTTATATATAAGGAAGTACAGGACATTCATGAATGAATTTGATAATTATTGAAATCTATAACACTGAACCACTCTCTAGAACCACTACTCTAGAAAAAACGAAAAGAGAAATGATATGCAGGAGACGTTCACAAACTTCCCGATTTTTGGGGGTTCTTCAATATTAATGCTTTTCAAAAGAAAGAATACTGGACACTCGCTCGTAGGCCTTGACACTCGCTCGTAGGCCTTGACACTCGCTCGTAGGCCTTGACACTCGCTCGTAGGCCTTGACACTCGCTCGTAGGCCTTGACACTCGCTTGTAGGCCTTGACACTCGCTCGTAGGCCTTGACACTCGCTCGTAGGCCTTGACACTCGCTCGTAGGCCTTGACACTCGCTCGTAGGCCTTGACACTCGCTCGTAGGCCTTGACACTCGCTCGTAGGCCTTGACACTCGCTCGTAGGTCTTGACACTCGCTCGTAGGCCTTGACACTCGCTCGTAGGCCTTGACACTCGCCCGTAGGCCTTATATCTCGCTTCAGAGTGGACGAATCCTGAATCCAAAGCCACCATTCGATTCAGCTCGGCGCGGAGAATCTTCTGATATATTGGAAGTGGGAGCACGATGTTTTCGATATTCCGTTTTCAGTTTTTTCAATTTGTTCTGCGGAGGTCCTTTCGCGAATATGTGAAGCAACGCCTACCCAACATAGAAGACTTTACTAAGTGCTTTTCGATAACACTGTTTTTGTAGATTATTGTGCGCTAAAAAGTAGGCTCAGACTTCTTTTCAAAGGAGATAGAAGCGTTGGTGAATTTTGGAAAAATCACGCGTTTTTAAATTCTACTCGACATAACTTCCTTTGGAACAAGTATATTTTGAATCCGAAAGCAGCGCCTTGCTCAGCTCATCAAGGCGATTCTTCCTATATACAGCATGTCCTTGATATTTTGATTTCAGTATTCTTGAATCTTTCTGAGGACGTCTTTTCGCGAAGGTAAAGCAGCGAGCATTGTCCCGAGTACATTCCAGCAAGGATCTTTCGATAGCACCTTTTCTGTAGATTATAATGTGCTAAATATTAGCCGCAGGTTTCTTTTTAAATGAAGTAGAACGGCGAGTGAATTGTGGAAAAATCTTGTCGTCCCAAATTCTACTCGCCATATCCGCAGGATACGAAGCTATCTTGCTAAGCAGATGTGAGTTTTGAAATCAGCAGGTCGCATAACCTCTACGAGCAAGTTTTCCGATATGTTCGGGTTATTCCATTTTTTCTCGTTTTACGCTCCGGAAGCTCCGATGGATTTTGGTCAAAATGTTGATGCTCTTGAATTGTACGGAAACTTCGCTTATAGAGGTTTTCGGACACGCTCTTTACGAAAATCGTGGTCTTTGAGGACAGGGTCTTTTTGGAGAGATACGGTGAGGTGACTGTAACTGCATCACGAAAGTGCGTAACTTTGGCCGCACTTCTCGCGTATCTGTCAGAAACCTTGCCTGCTTGCTTTTTTCAGTCAGAGTTACTAGGAATTGTGCTATCGAATGGTGCATGACTCAGGCTCCAATCTATGAAATTCGCCGAGTTACGAGCCTACGAAAATACGTTCTCATGAATTTTGCCCAAAATGTAGAGATCGCATATCTCGTCGAAATTCCTCCGTGAGCACTTGTATGACGTTCGTTGCAGATATGTTCGATTTGTCGAACGACTCCCACTGTACTGAATATGGTGCTTGCGTCTGCTTCAGTTGCTCAATTGAATATCAAAGCTATTTCGTGGCTTGAGCTCAAAGCACACCAAATCTAACACAATAAGATTCATTAATAGATTCCAGATACTTTACAATCTCACAAGGGAAGGATAGTTGGATGCCGCGGCCATTCCTAATGATTTGTATACCAAAAAATGCGCCTTCAAATGCAGATTCTGAATCTGTGCTCGAAATCTGCGAAACGATCTTTTGAAGAAAGTTATGAACTTTTTTCCTTGAAAATTTAGCCTACTTTTGGATAGTAAAAATCACCAGATTTGATCTAGCCTACCGTTTGATGCTACTGAAGAAAATTTTAGACGTAGTAATATTTATTTAGACTATCTGGATCATACTCAGCATTTGGAAAGGAGGAAAAATTTTTTTATTGATGATTTTGACCCTCCGCAGGAACGCAATTTTTTTAATGAAAAAAAATCATAACTCCATTCATTTTCGCAGATATGAAAGACAGTCTACGAACCAGCACTCAAAAGCGCATTTTCTGGTATACAAATCATTATGATTGGCTACGGCATCCAAGTATCCTTCCCTTGTCAGAGCAAGAATGTTTTTGAACGCAGAATCAACACACTTGATCTCTTACGTTTGAGGCATTCTGAGAATGAGTAATGAATAGCACCAATTCGTCATCTGTATTGCTATAGCTGGCCATGTGCGATTACATTATCCGACCACAAAATGCATACTAAATACAACCATCAATTTGCGTTTTTCTAATATTATTTTCTTTCAATTGTCTTATTAACCCAAATCTTGCTATTATGTTAGTTCAGGTCTAATCAATTTACTTCTCTTCCCAATCATTACAGCTTGTTGACTTGCTCTTAAATGAATTACGGAAAGTGAAACTATTTGATATTCTTTCGGAGCCATTGGACTCTCCCCGCAATCATTTGGGCAAGTTTGATTGGTATTACTGCACCAACCGAGCCCCGCTTTGCTTCATTATTGCAAGAGCATCTTCTGCTGTCAAATGAGTTGGCATGATTGCCATCTCCATAGATTACAATAACCTAACTTGATCACGCTCACGTATGAGTTATCCATCATTACAACCCTTATTGAAATTCACTTGGAGTCACTGGCTCACACTGGTTTACTGGTTTGGTGGGGTCAGATAATATACCCACCATCAAACCTTGTTTGCTTGTTAAAATCAAAATAATTTGCTGGCAAAAGGGGGCATGGGTACATCTCCACGAATCGCATCATTTAATTCCGATAATTATAATCATAGAGCAGTCAAATACAAGCTTTCATCACATTTTGATCAAGATTAGACCTAAAGTAATGATGCACTATCGTTGCGGTTTGACTATAAATGACTGCTTTCTATTCTATTGTATGGAACGCCAAGAGCGTATAGAATAAATAATTAAATAAATAAAAATAAAGGATTTGACCAACGCGTTGTACAAGCGCTCACGGAGGAATTTCGACGAGAAATGCGATCTCTACATTTTGGGCAAAATTCATGAGAACGTGTTTTCGTAGGCTCGTAACTCGGTGAATTTCATAGATTGGAGCCTGAGTCATGCACCCTTCGATAGCACAATTCCTAGTAACTTTGACTGAAAAAAAGCAAGCAGGAAAGGTTTCTGACAGATACGCGAGAAGTGCGGCCAAAGTTACGCATTTTCGTGATGCAGTTACAGTCACCTCACCGTATCTATCCAAAAAGACCTTGTAATCCTCAAAGACCACGATTTTCGTAAAGAGCGTGTCCGAAAACCTCTATAAGCGAAGTTTCCCTACAATTCAAGAGCATCAACATTTTGACCAAAATCAATCGGCGAGCTTCCGAGAAATCGAGAAAAATGGAACAACCCGAACATATCGAAAAACTTGCTCGTAGAGGTTATGCGACCTGCTGATTTCAAAACTCACATCTGCTTAGCAAGAAAGCTTCGTATCCTGCGGATATGGCGAGTAGAATTTGGGGCGACAAGATTTTTCCACAATTCACTCGCCGTTCTACTTCATTTAAAAAGGAACCTGCGGCTAATATTTAGCACATTATAATCTACAGAACAAGTGCTATCGAAATATCCTTGCCGGAGTGTACTCGGGACAATGCTCGCTGCTTTACACCTTCGCGAAAAGACGTCCTCAGAAAGATTCAAGAATACTTAAATCGAAATATCAAGGACAAACTGTATACAAGAAGATTCGCCTTGATGAGCTGAGCAAGGCGCTGTTTTCGGATTAAAAATATACTTGTTCCGAAGGAAGTTATGTCGAGTAGAATTTAAAAACGCGTGATTTTTCCAAAATTCACCAACGCTTCTATCTCCTTTGAAAAGAAGTCTGAGCCTACTTTTTAGCGCACAATAATCTACAAAAACGGTGTTATCGAATAGCACTTAGTAAAGTCTTCTATGTTGGGTAGGCGTTGCTTCACATATTCGCGAAAGGACCTCCGCAGAACAAATTGAAAAAACTGAAAACGGAATATCGAAAACATCGTGCTCCCACTTCCAATATATCTGAAGATTCTCCGCGCCGAGCTGAATCGAATGGTGGCTTTGGATTCAGAATTCGTCCACTCTGAAGCGAGATATGGCCACGCGACGCTGATGTATGGACATGTCCATACATGTGTGGACATGTACGGACATGTATGGACATGTCCATACATGTATGGACATGTCCGTACATGTCCATACATGTCCATACATTCGCGTCTATTTTTCAAAAAATGTGAGCGGTATTGTATTTCCGAAATACTAGATTGGCACATAAATAATGCAACTTTTTGTATAACTTTTGTCTTCGCCTTCATTTTCTGACAATTTAGAGACTATGATGTAAATGCAGACATTTCGCCAAATTTTGCCATCTTACGTAAGTGTTATGGTAGGTTTATGGTACAATAAATATTTTAGATTGCATCAAATTTTGCTGAAACTTGGCGTGGAGGGTTATACGACATGCTGATCACAAAAATATGACCCGTTTTGCTTGAAAAGGTCTCTTCCGTAAGATCCAAAAATGGATGTTATCTTAGCGACAAATGAATATGATATTCGTGTTTCCCGTAATGGATTGCTCTGTTGTGCAAAGTTTTAGCGAATTACGAGGTTCCGCAGCTTAGTTACTAACAGATTGCCTTCAAACTTGACGCATTTGACTTGTCCTACTTCTCATAGGCGTCTCATATTCGCTGGTATTCAAATTTTACTTCTTTCTTACTGATTCGAATGTGTCAACTTTTAGCTACATGCTGCCTATGACTCCCTTTTTGATGTGTTTGATTCAGGTTTTGTACGGCTTCACGTTTGCCAAAAAACCGTGAAACCTCATTTTTTCAACAGTTTTCGAAAAATGTTAAAATTTTTTCGACTAAGTTATCAGCAATTGAACGGTTTGCACAGACTTGCCACGTCACATCCTACATGATACCAGATTGGAGTGCTACACTGAATAAGAAGAAAGTTATGAAAAAAATTGCAAAATTTTTGTGCCAACTTAATATACGGATTAACGATACCTAGGTCATTTTTCCACCAAAGAATAGGCAGTAGAAAAGTTCTTGCACATAAACATTCATTTTAAATCCTCATTCTTTCTTCAGTAGTACATCAGTAAACTTCAAAAAAATGTCAACAAAGATTGCATTGAGTGTGGTGATTGAGAGCTTTCACGGGATTACATACATTTCGGTTTCAACATTCGATCCCCATCATCACGAGAATGATCATTGTTTGTGTATATTGGAAACTAGTATAACTGGATTCCAACTGTAGGATTCAAATTGCTGCTTTCTATCCCTGTACATTAGTATACATAGCCAATATTGCAAAACAACACTCGTTGTGTATATTTAACTGTACAGAGAATCGCCAACGGTACTAAAGTATGCATTAATCTGAAACCTTTCGCACACTGCTCACTGAATTTGGAGAAGTCATATTTCTTTACTAAGGCAAATTGTAATTTTGAAAAGTCATTCATTTCTTTACTAAGGCAAATTGTTTCTGTCGCGAATTATATGTGGATACGGTGCCGCTTTTTAGAAAGAAACAAATGAACAAGCAAGGTGCAGAAATTCGTAGACGCCTTGGGAATCAGTGAGAGTATTCAAGAAGCCGGTCTGTTGCTTTTGGTGACTGTCGATCTCTTGCAATAGTCTGAAGAGGGAAATAGCTAGAAAATGGATCATAAGCCTACTTTCCTTGGAGAAAGACTTCGGTAGTTCGGACAGGAGCTCATCGATATCAGAGCAACGACCGTATTACGAAGATGCTGCAAGAATACCACTGGTTGAAAAACAACTGTGGTTTCGACAGGCATAAAATTCTTTCGTTTTATTCTTACAACTCGCAAGTGGCGTTAGGCAGCTCCCTGGATCAAAAGCAATCATCAAGGGAAGAATAAAATGTGAATCAGGCATGCACAACAAAGGCTTTGAAAGAACATTCTGGCCATGCAAAACGCCTGTCCTTTCAAATAGATGGCTGGCACCGAATCGGCAGACAAACTTCCAGGTTATGCTAGCATTATTTCTTCTTCCGTTCCTTATAAACACACAAATTCAATGTCGGAGACTTACAACGGAGGAGAATGAGCTCAACAGCAAGAAATGCGGCGTACATTTTCTAGGTATTTGCTTACCCTATCAGCTTCACTGCCTATCTATATGTTTATCCCTGCTAAATTTGGAAAATTCAGGGCAGCCAATTCAAAGGAACCGTCAAGTCAAAAAGTCTTACGGAGGTCGAGAATTCGAAGAAAATGAGTATCCTTGGACTGCCGTGTTGTTAAGAAATGGTATATAAATTCTCGGCTTGCAATTTTTAGTTGATCTTTAGGGCAAGCAGTTTGCAGTGGTGTTCAGATATCTCCACGACATATTTTAACAGCTGCTCACTGTGTGTTGGTCTTCGACGTCAAGGAGAGATTTGATCTGTGTCTCAAGAATCAGTCAAACAGGTTGGTTGGTTGATTTCACTTTTGAGGAGCTTAGTCACCACTATCATCAAGACGAAATGGTTGTGGACGTCAAAGTTCATATTGATATTCAGCATCGTTTCCTGCTATCGATGCCGGAAGATATAGTTGTTGCAATTGGTGGCGGGAAAATTCATTGCAACAATAATCCTTGCCAATACAATAAGGCTCTGTACACAGCGACAATGGCAAAAATTACTGTTGATCATCCATTATGGCACTTCACCTGTCTTTAGATAACAGTAAAGGAAATGAAAATGTGTGACGCCGACGATGACTTGGCCCTCATTGAGCTCAGCCGAAATATCTTGGAAAGCGACTCGACACCGATCTGCATGCCCGAATTTGACTTGCAGCTGAAGCCTGTCCTATATGCAAGCGGCATCGGAATGGATCGTGAGCAAAGAAATAAGACTACCTCTTCACAACAAAGTATCCGAATAGTGGAAATTTTTGCAAATTGAGCCTAGTTTAAACCGCTCGCCAAAGCGTCCCTGATTGGTCCGCGCGTCATCTGCGATTGGGACGGCGAGTGGCGGGGAGGAGGATCGAGCGGTCTCCCCTTCACTTCTGCACAATCACCATGTCCAGCATGATGACAAATCTTGTCACTGACAGGTGATACGCGAAAGGTGTGCAAAACGCAAGCAATGTAAAGTTCATTAGTCTCATCTCTTCACATAGTCAATCATAGCTTGAGCCATGTATCGGTTTGGGAGACGATGACGTCGCTTACCGCTATCAAACGCATAGAAAATGTCTCGGTGGATATTTGACGCAACTTGTCTAACTTTCGTAGCGCTGCAGCGAGCGGTTTGAAGAGCCAAAATCCTGTTTATACGCGCTAGCTCTAGGTACAGCAACCTACATATCGTCCTTTCTGGAACTCCAAAACGAATAAGAGATACTGAATGCTTGAAAGATTTGCAAAATTGTGATTGAAAAGTTGGGTACTGTGTGCTTTACTGCATCTTGGATTTTTCACATTTATCCAAAGTTAAAGAAGTCTGAGCTCATTAAATAGCGTATGCGTTGAGATCTCGGGTCCTGTCTTGTAGATGATACTTTCAAGACATGTGGAAACTATCAGTCATACAAAATCTTACTCCATCTGATTTTAACATCAGGTTTCTATCGCTTCCGAAATTCGAAAGGCTACCTCTCGGTACCACATAGAACCTCTGAGTAAGCTGAACCACACGTACATGCTGTCTCAAATATTCTAGTCCCAGAACTATCATTATTTCTCATAATCTTACGCTCCTATAATTTTAGTTTCGACCCCTATCACTTTTCACAATCCAAACGGCGATATAGCACATGGACAGCAAGTAGTAGCTCTTCGCTATCTTGCAGTCGATCACGTACTCCACCAAATTGTGACAGTGACCTTCGCGAAAACAATATGTCAAGTTAAAATCTTTTCTGGTCCCTTATTTGTCTGTTTATGACTGCTGAGATGGACAAATTCAGGGAGATAGTGGAGGTCCACTGTTTCAAGTGAATGAAGACGGTCGCCACATCCTCGTAGGGATCAACAGCAACATTCTTGGGAGCTGCACTCATCATAGCGAAAGTACGCTCATCAGAAGCTTAACAGTTTAATTGTTGATTCTTGCAGACATCGGCAATGTACTCACTGACGTTCGTGCGCATTCGGATTGGATTTGCAAATATTCAGGTCTCATTGAAAATTCATATCCATAAATTCATTTTCTACCGTTTCAGGCGTGTGCGCACTGGGAGAAGAATCCATTTAGGAGGAAGAAGATGCAATAGCAGAGTATTTTGATTTGTGACATACCTAACTGTAGAAATGTACTGGTTAAATAGATTTCACTTTTACCACACTCAGAGGTAGAGGACTGTATGTGGCCGAAATGGGGCGGCATCCGCGGTCATCTGAAACAAATAGGAGTCTTTTCACATGGAGATGGGTTTTTGCAAGGTTCGCCGGACCCTCCTACATTCGGCAGCCTATATTCCTCTACCCACACACTCAGCATATAACAGTATTGGATTTAACATGTTTTATCAAATATGTTTGGTGTATTTTTCGCGACAGGTTTTAGTTATATAAATCACATTAAAAAAATATTATTAGATCTTGTTGCTGGCGTCGAGCTGGAGTGCCCGTAGGCTATTCGTTCCTTATACTTTTTCAGATTCTGATGGGTACATATTTTAACTATTATTATATTTCTCAACATTTTCATATGTCTAAAGAGGATGTCAAATGTCCCTCTATCTGGTCATTTATAACTATCTTATTTCATGGCGTTTCGCCGCACATGAGGGAACATTCTATAGAGCAACTAGATCTACAATGTGGAGCAAAGTACCATTTAGTTTTTGCCATGGGATTACGGTAGGAAGCGTAGCATAACAGCATATGGCGCCGTTGTGAGATGGGCCGTTTGGAATCAAATTTCCAAAAAGAAACTGCGAAGATGTGTATCAGAGAGCACACGCACGCTGATTTCGCTATACGATATTTTAAGAGTTTATTGAGTTGGTTTGAATGGTGTGATAATTTCCAAAATCGAAAAAACGGTTACAACTTATATGCGTAACATAGAAAGATTGCGATGAAGTGTGAGTTTCATAGGCTAAATAGTGTAAGAGTTCTAACATATTTACTTTCAGAGGTACAATAGGAAGCAGCCCTCCATTAGAAAAAACACAGCCCGACAACGACTGCACAATATTGCTTTTAACATGAGTAAAGTCGTCATTGGGCCATGGTTTGAAAGTGGAATCTGCTATTGTGATCTATGAAAATCATAACAGTCTCAAAACTGCTTGGACAATGCCTTCAAGAGCGAAAGAATTGGAGTATGATAATTATTGAAGATTAAACACTAGGGATATTTATTTAGGTCAGCCTGTATCACAGTATGCTGCGCCTCAGTTTCCTCGTAGAACGCAAACGTGTCGCATTCAGTCATGACTGCTTAAAGGTCTCGAAAGGCCTCCATACTTTTCACATATTTTAGGACCCTTCATTTTGACCATGTATAACTTTCGCTTATTGGAAATCTTCAAAATCTTATAGTCCTTGGAAGAACGCTAAGATGAGATGAGCGGAAACCATATCTATGATCTGTCCAGTAAGGATACCTTATGCTTTTTTGAATTTTTTGGAAAAATCCTATAAAATTGAACGGTGTGTCATTGAAAAAAGGACATGACCCCGCAGAAGGGTATAAACAAATGTCATATTTTGAGTAGGAGGTTGTAGATAATGCTCCTGTTTAGGAAACATTTACTAATACATGTAGATTGAGACTACCCAAAACAATTTTCAACTTAATAGAGGACATATAATGTATGAAAGTTTCTGGATGACATTATCAAAGCCACTTCGTAGTTTGTACGCTTCTGTAATTCACACTATCACGAATAATTAGAGATTGTAAAAGTAGAAGAGAGTTAAACTGTAATTTCCTGTAAATCGGTCCTGTCTGTGTGCAGTGTTTGAATAAGTCCTTTACGCGAATATCATACAACGAAAATTCGTCAGTACAAGGGCAAAAGTGAAAATAATATAGTTGACAACAGTCAGGAAATAAGCTCTATACAAATCTGAAAATATTATAGTCGCTGGAGTATCTTGATGCGCTGAAAGCCCACTCAAAAATAATTTGCCGGCAAATCAAAATATTATGATGAGATTAACACATTTTTCCTCTTTCCATCAGGAGTGCGAGCAGCTGTCTTTAGTGGCATAGAGTTAATGACAAAATGACGTAATGACAAACATCTGTGTAGTAAGTCTTACAGCTAATTTTCACAAATCATATTCGCCGTCCAACAGTAAGAAGCAGTTACAATTAACGTTTTTATTTTAGTTTTTGTAATGTAGGACGAGCCTGACCGAAGAGCAATTAGAACGAAATAAAGGGCTCGTTAAAACCTAAATGCTTCTAAAATGTGAGCGTCTTTGTTGTAATTATTATGCGCTGAACTTTCCGAAAAACCTCGAATTAGCAGACATTCAATAGTATATAGTCACAACAATGTCGTAATATTAGCAATAGGAATCTTCTAACCATAAACTCTTCGTTCTCTCCTTCCGCTGCAGAGTCATGGTCGATTATGCAGTGCCGTCAAAAAAGTGGAACCTCTGATGAAAGTACTGCTAAAAATGAAGTCCCCCTTGCAAGGTTTTCCTTGGTGTTACAGATTCAGTAAATGTCAAAAGTCCACTAATCATGCGACTGAGGTTTCGATCGCTTATGTTCTCAAAGATTTCATACGATGACTTGAAACTCGGTTGCTACGTTCAAAAAATTCTCTATTCGAAACAGGTGTCGGCACAGGTGGCTTATAAGCAAGCTGGATATCTTTTCTGAGACAAAAGCAGATGGGGTATCGTTTTTGTGGCCGAAAAAACACAACTTAGGTCTTTTTTGGTCGACGTCTAGTTCTCTTAGGTTTTCTGCGTTTAGGGCTTAGGCTCAAAAGGAACTTCGCAAAATTACGTGGAAGTCAAGGGCAGGGCTTGGCACAAGCTGGCACCAGGGAATTTTCAAAGCGAAGTCCCTCTTGAAATTTGCTAATTTCTACGAAGTCCCCTTGGACCCCAGACCAAGATCCCTGAAAATCCTCCAAAAAACGAAACGTCAACTAAAAAAACGTTGCAATTTGTCGACAAAAACGATATCCCCTTTGCTTTTTGACTCAAAAACGATATCCAGCTTGCCCCGTGCCAGCTGGTGCCAGCCCCTGGTCAAGGGGGACTTGGTTTACATTTTCGGAAATCCACTTTGTGCCGAGCCCGTATCCGAAATATGAATTCTTTGAATAAGTTCTGTTGCATTTCCTTGGTCATGCTCTGAAAAATTCTACAGAGTTTGGCGGAATCTCATTCCCGGCATAATTGAAGAAGGGGCATCACACCTCCACGGAGAACTACAGTAATTCTGCGCATTAGCGGCCCTTTGACCTTAATTTTCTCTTTTACATCCTCAAATTTCCCTCGTTTTTCTTTCACATCTTTTCAGATTTTACGTTACAGGGAGCATCAGTATCAGTGAGGTGGCCGTTCTAAAGTTGAAGCTGCCAACGCAAGTTCTCAATAGAAAATTTAGAATCCTGAGCTAGGATTTTTTATGTGTGCCATTTATACATTGAAGAGCTACAGCTTTCCATGTAAGTAGAAAATGAAGAAAAGTCTTTTAATGGACTGTGAGGATTTTCTTTTCTGTCAAATGTTGCAAACATATGTACAAGCAGAAAATGCAAACCTTTGTCTTAAAGATCGTAATGATAAGAATGCTATAGCATCTTCCCTTATAAGCCAATCCCTATTTTCTGACAACGAAACTCAAGCAAAGAGAACAAAGAAGAAAAGTTTCACGACTTGGTTCTTCTGCTTTTAAACTCACTGGAATTTGAAAAAAGCAGAGTTCTTTAAGCAAAAGCTTGAATGGAAAATGAAGAAAAAGGCTTATATTAGGTAGTAGTTTCGAGAAGAATGAATTCGCGTTTGGAACCGGCACTGCAGTAAAGACGTGGATAATTCTTGTAAACATGAGTCGACCTAGAATCAAGAAAACAGTAGTAATCATGAAAATTCTGTTAGGAAAAATACTCCTGTTTCGCCTCTTGCACCGAGACAGTAAATCAGCTCATCAGACTGAACTAAAAATATACACATTGCTCATTTACATAGAGCTTGATGGTTCAAAGATACGATTTTGCCAAAAACCAAAGTTTGCTTGAAAATACTTCTGACCACTCGTTCAGAAGACATCTACACATATTAACCTTGTACAATTCAGGGAATAAAAGATTTGATGAAAGAGTCTTGTACAAAATGGCGAACTCCGCCCCTAACCATTCCTTTCTTATACCTGAGCGTATGCTACGGACTTTCATGAGTTCAGGGGCATATTTCTGATTTCATGATTATCTAGGGAAAACTGAAAAACAATATTCTGTGCCCCTAAATGGAGTGAGCCCGACAAGAGGTGAAATTAAGAGCTTTTTGAAATATCCTCCTTTGATTTCTCAAAATTCTACAAAGTCCCTTTTGATCTTCGTAGAGCAACTTTATAACTATTAGGTTGGTGCAAAAGTTTTGTCAGTATTTTCAATCTATCGGCAAACACGCTAGAATGAACGTAAACAAACTCTTCAAAATGTATCCGATGCGGAATTTCTTCCTCTTTCCAGCTGCCGAACTTCCATTGTGTTTCGTTGCGAGAGTTACGAGATATTTGCTGAAAAATACAACCACTCTTTTTCACCATGTCTAACTTACGCTAATTTTCAAAATTTTTATATGAGATTATCGGAGGAGCCCTAATAACCCGCAGATAGAGCAAACCCTTTGCCAACAAATGCAATTTTTTGTAGCCTTATGGCTTGCCTTTCAAAATTTTTACGATTTATCTCTTGAAGTGACCAAATTTTACATTCAGCTTATTTTAACCTCATAGAGCATAAAATGTTAAACACTTCAGTCACCATTCCATGCAACTTTTTCTCCTCGTTCTGACGCTTGTCTTTTTTGCCGAAACAGGTGAAGCTTGTGGGGAAAACCGCAGTTTTTCTCAATTTCAGGAGTGCGCACTGACGTAACCTATGTTTCAAAATCTTCATAATTTGAAGCGAAAATCGCTCATTTACTTTGTAATGGTAGCGGTAGTAATAATCGAGTGTTGATACCTCAGTATTCTGTAGGTTTTGCAGTGTTTGGTGCAATAACAGATTAAGCGATTTCTTTAAAACACAAGACTTTCAGGAAATTATTTAGCAAAAATCTGGAAAAGCAGCTGAAAAAAAAAGAAAAAACTGCATAAGGTGGCAAAAGGTTTGCCCTATCTAGTGGTTATTAGGGCTCCACCGAAAGTCTCATACAAAAATTTTGAAAATTAGTGAAAGTTGGACATGGTAAAAACGAGTGGTTGTAATTTCCGGCAAATTTCTCGTCATCCTGTCAACGAAACACAACGGGAGTTTAGTAGCTGGAAAGGGGAAGAAATTCTGCATTGGAAATATTTTGGAGCCTTTGTGTATCTTCATTCTAGCGTATTTGCCAATGGATTGAAAAAACTGACAAAACTTTTGCACCGACCTAATATTTACCTAATTTTGTGTCTGGGTTTGAATAAGTGAAAAGCTTTATTCGGATATTTATTCATCTGCGCAATTAAAAAATGGCTTATTCGAATATTCGAATACTCGACGAATTTTGAAGAACAACTGCTTGAATATTCGAATATTCGAGCGTTTGACTGTTGAAATTTTATTCGCATGTTTCATACGCGAGGTTTCTTGCATATTCGAATACTGCATTCGATTTTTCGAATACTCGTATATTTGAATATTCGATGATACCGAGTTATTCTATTATGCGAATAGTCGAACATCCAATCAAGTTCAGTTATTCGTAGAAAATTCGAATTCTAGAAGGTACCTAATTTTGATGATTGATTCAAATGCTATGAAAATCGAAAATTGAATAATTTCGTCGCGGCCACTCCATGGCGTAGAAACCTTTTCTGAAGGAAGCAACCGTGAAAGTCTCTCCTCATGTTTAAAGAGTGAGGCCAGTGCCGTCAGATATTATCTCAACTGGTACCTCCCAGGCTTTATTTTTGATGGGTTAATAAAAAAATCAAAATTATCGGAGATCACAGCCGTGGAGTAAATATCAAAAAATGTAAAATTTTGATTCCTCAAATTCTTCTTTCGCAGAAAATTTCTAAAAAATTTTCTGCATAGCTATATATGTAGCACTGGTCTGTGATTATAAGCTATAGAAGTTTCTGGCTGAACACTCATAATCGGTAGGAGTTTACAACTTGCCAAGTATGACCTTGTCAAAAAAATTTCTTTTTACTTTCTGGCTTCCAGTAATTTCCTTGTTGGAGCTACAGCTACAAAAGAAAATGGGCAAATAGAGAAAGACTTGCTGATCATAGTAGTTTTTACCGCATTTCAAAATATGCGATTTCAAAGGAGTTATGACGCTTTGAAGTGAGAATATGCAAAACCTGCATTGATTTCCGGACAACCTAATATAAGGTTGGCCCGAAAGTTTTCCACCATTTTCAGAAAACCATAAGTTCTTGTTTTTTTCACCGATTTAACTTTTTTTATTTTTATATAAAAGAGTAAGTCATGCTCTTCATAATGGCATTTTACATGCTTGCTAGTGATCATCTGCTGCATAGATAGGAGTGATAGAAAAAAGTAGTCAAAATTTGAATTTTCTGTGGAGGGTCATAAAAAATCTGAAACCTGCAGTAAAAATCGGAGCAGTCAGTATTATAGGTTCTTACACCAGCTCTTTCTAACTATGCAAAGTCTGCGCCGATTGAGCATCTCTACGGAAAGTTATGATTTCCCTGAAAAATGCCAAAACAAATCAAATTCGCCCTTTTGTATTGCTTTCTCGAAAATCGTAACTTTCCATGGAGATGCTCAATCAGCACAAACTTTGCACTGTTAAGAGCTGGTGAAGAAACCTACAATACCGATTGCTGCGATTTGTTGCAAGTCTCCGATTTTTTATGACCCTACACAGAAAATTCAAATTTTGACTAATTTTCTTCTACCGCTCCTATCTATGCAACAGATGATCATTAGTGAGCAGCTAAGATGTCATTGTAAAGAGCATGACTTACTCTTTTATAAAAATAAGAGCAGTCAAACCGGTCAAAAAATCAGAAGTTATGAATTTTTGAAATTGGTGCGAAAGAACTTTCGAGACGACCTAATATATGACTACGTAATTTTCCATACGGCTACTCTGACCGAGCTTCTTTCGATGTGAAGAATATTTTGGGATTCGAAATCTTCCTGAGAAGACGTGATTTTTCGAACGCTACGATGAAGCAATGCAGTTGATTTATATGCTATAATTCTCAAAAAAACCAGAAATTATCTTTAAGCTTTTCCTGCACAGAAATTGTTAGAATTTGTATGGACATAATAAGCGCTGTTTACGACTTCTGCATATTTGGTAGGACCGATCACTGTGCCACACTTTTTTATTTTCAGTTACGCCTTCGGGCTGAAGTCTAGGAACGGACTCAAGAATCTTTTCTGAACTGTACAGAGTGGATGAAAGTACACAAAACACTATTTTGGATAGAGATGCGACAGAATAACTTAGAACTTCTGAAGCTTTGAACATATCGATTAGCTTGTGTCACTGAAGTATGATGAAGTGCTACATACGCTCAGCCTTTCGAAAAGGCAGCAGCTAGAATGCAAAGCGATCAAGACTTCGATGCAAACTTCTTTTGCTATATTCTTTCATTTCAAAAGTGGAATGAGGCACACGTTTCAATAAAAAAGCGACATTCATCAAGAAAAGAGTAGAACGTGAATCAGGCATGCACAAAGAAGGTTGCCAAAGGACATACTGGTCGTGGAAAAACGCCTGCGCCGTTAAATAAAGGGCAAGCACCGATTCCACGCAGACCCCATGATCATGGTATCACTATTTCTTCTACTATTCCTGATTAGCTCTGAGATCCAAAGTCAAAAACTTACAACGGAGGAGAATGAGTTCAATAACAAAAACTGCGGCGTTCATTTTCTAGGTAGATGAACACTTTACTTTGTTCACTGAGTTGTAGGCTCCTGCTGTTTTGAATAATTTCAGGACAGCCACTTCAGAAAAATCGTGTGGTCAAAAAGTCTTACGGAGGCCGAGAATTTGAAGAAAATGAGTATCCTTGGACTGTGGTTTTGGGAGATGGTACGATACATACCATGCTGTTACAGTACCGTTATGTTGCAATCTTCGTTCAGTTTCGGAACAGACGACGTGCAGTGGTGTTCAAATATCTCAACGACATATTTTAACAGCTGCTCACTGTGTTTTGCGCTTCGACGTTGAAAAGAGCCAAGAGTTGTGTGCCATTAACCAATCACAGAGGTTGGCAGTAATCTTATTTTTGAGAAAAGTAGCTTACCCCACGATAACTACTGTAATATAATACTGTTTATGAAAATTTAGCATTGTTTCTGTACTAGCCAATCCAGAAGAGATGTCTATCTTCATAGGCGGAGGGAAAATGCGTTGCTACACTATTCCTTGCCAAACCACTAAAACTCCATATAGAGCGAAAAAGGTAAATTTTCAATTTGGTTATTTCAGTCTGGCGCGGTTCAGGTGCTTTAGATCGTAGCAAAGGAATTGAACATGTGTGAGAAAAATGATGATTTGGCATTACTTGAACTCAGCCGAGATATCTCGGAAAGCGATTCGACACCCATTTGCATGCCCGAAGATGACTTGCAACTGAATCCTGTTCTATTTGCAGGAGGCTTCGGATTCGATCGTAAGCTAAAAGAAGCCGCATCGCAACAAACATTATCTGGGATATGAAACTTATTTACATGCGGAATTTTACTCCCCTTCAATTTCAGCTTCGAGCCCCATCACTTTTGATAATCCGGGAGGCGATCAAGCACATGGACAGCAAGTAGTAGCACTTCGCTATCACGCAGTCGACCAATTACTGCACCAAATTGAGACAGTGACATTTGCGAAAACATTATGTCAAGTTACAATCTATTTGAATCCATTATTTTTCTGCTAATGACTGCAGAGCTGGAGAAATTCAGGGAAATAGTGGAGGTCCACTGTTTCAAATAGACGAAGTGGGACGCCACATTCTTGTGGGAATCGCTAGCTACATCCGTAGAAGCTGCACTCACCACAACGAAAGTACGCCCATCAACGGTCTAAACGATAAATTCTTAATTCTTGCAGACATGATAAATGTTTTTACTGACGTTCGTGCGCATTTGGATTGGATCTGCAAATATTCGGGTCACATAAAAACTACATATCCATTTTGAACTTTTTTCTTCTGTTTCAGGTGTGTGCCCAGTAGAAGAAGAATCCCAATGGACTGAAGGTGCAACACTACCGTATGCTAGTCTACAGCATATTTGATTAGATAGAATTTTTTGGCTTGAAAATCTACCACAGTCAAAACTTATTAGTATGAGATACTCTTACGTGTTTTCTGAATACCATTACTCTTCAAAGTAAACTCATTAAATATGTACGATGATAATCGCCGCAGGTGAACACAGCAGCAGCAACAAGCAAAAAGCAACAAGCGACCCAACCCAGCTGACTGTACTAATGTGATCGACTGTAATCGGCTCTGATATATTTTTAATTTTTTGCACCTTTTTTCCCGAAGATCCCACTGCAAATGCAGTGGCCATCTCAGATTTCCACTCGGGGGAGCGGTAGGGGGAGGAGGAGGGGGAAAAACAAAAAATTTTTCGAATGAAGGTGCGCGGCTTGAGCCACGCATTCCGCAAGTTTTCTCCGAGCCCCGAATTCCCCAGATTTCAAGAAGGCTTTATTTCAAAATTTTTATTAGCCTTTACAAGGCTAATAAAAATTTTAAAAATTTCAAAAATTATTTTAGTAATTCATATGTATGAACAAGTCACTTGCACATTTTTATAACCCAGGAAGTAACTTTCACAAATTCCACGACCCATCGGGGATCCGCCATCGTGCAGATCTACACCATTTCTATTTACTTCAACCTACCTATTTTCTATCAGGTGACAAAGTAGAACTGATAAACCAAATTGTTAAAGAAATCAAAATAAGACTCCTCAGAAAAGTTGAAAGAGGACGAACTTCCATTTTCTATATCCAATATCATTTGTTCCACTTTAGTATATTCAAAGTTATACTAGAGAGATCTTTTATTGCTAAAAATCAGACTACTTGACTCGAGAACAATGAGATCCCTCCTAAATTACTCTACATGAATTAAGAGAAATATTCAGGTGGAGAGCCTTTTTCGCGTGCTCCTTATATACAAGCAAAATCGTCTTTTCACTTGTTGAAGAACACTTTAGCACTCCAAATTTCAGCTCTCCGAATCTGACAAAGATTTTACGCAGAAAGCTACCTCGAATGCGAATCTGATACAATCTACTAGATTTTACGGTAAATAGGTTCCCCTAGGGTGCGCGACAAAATGAACGCCGATGTATAGAACTTCCCACTAAGCGCACCTGCCATTGGGCCCCCCTCGCTCCGAGAATGGGTCGCTAAATGAAAATTGCTTATATGGGTTATAAAAATGCGCAAGTGACTTGTTTATTCATGTAAGCAGTTGAAATAGTTTTTGAAAACTTTCAAAAATTCAAAATAGCCTTGTCCCAAAAGTTTTTTCGGAGTGCGTGGCTGACGCCTCGCACCTTCATTGAAAATTTTTTTGTTCCCCCCCCCCCCCCCCAGATGGAAATCTTGGGACCGCCACTGATAGCTACATACTTCTCCGAAATATGATCTGTTTGACGTTTGATTCACAAACAATGCGCATTAGCAAATAAGATGAGGGGGAGCACTAGTTGCTTCAAGTCATTTGAAACTACATCAAATGGAGATTGCTTATTACATCAAACACAATGTTCATTTGTGACATCTATATGGATTGAAAAACATTTGCCTTAGGAAAATTCTTTTTGAGTCAAACTGATTGATTTTCCAATATTGTGCAGATTGTTGACCCACAAGTGGTCCGAACCATATTTTTTCAAAGTAACCGCCCACCCTGCTCTTCATTATTTGCAGTAGCACTCTCTTTTGCATTCCTTTCCTCCGACATGGCCTCACCCAACGCTGCGCAAAAGTTCATGGTTCCCCAAGTTACCACCAAAATACTGTGATATTTAGTGAAATCGACGAGTTCTTCCATTAGCATTTTTATATAAATGGAGTGAATAGATCAAAATTCGGCCTTTGAACTTTTCTCGTAAACTGACAGGAATAACATCTACGTGTTGATCTGTCCACGTAAAACGAGTTACTATCTGTAGCGTTTATGAAACCAATTTCACGGCACTGCAAAACAAAATGGTGAGGACGTGTGCGGGAAAAATTTGCGTTGTGCTCAAATTATTTCATCCTTTTAACGTGACTTAAAGGTTACCTTACGACGAAGTGAGGCTCATAATGGTCTGTCGGGAGCACGATGTGCATCATAAATCAAAACTTACAAGGTTTTTTGGCATTGTCAACAAATGTATCTAGGAGTGGAATAAAAACCTTCTTTTTGAAACTTAGGCTCAATCTAAGAAAAACCTGAGGAAGTAAAAGCTTATAGCTGCTCCTTTCGAGCCGATTTTGCGAAACTAGAAAATGAAAGAGGCGAACAGAGAGTTATGCGTGTATATCTTATAGAAATACAGGACATTCTTGGATGAATTTGATAATTATTGTAAACCTATAACACTGTACTGAACTACTATTCTAGAGGAAAAAAAAGAGAAATGATATGCAGCAAACGTTCACAATTTTTCCGATATTCTTGGGGGTTCGTCGATATCATTGCTTTTCAAGAGAAAGAAATATGTCAAAATGAAAAATATGTTCTGTATGTGTTAGTATGTTAGTAAGCCGACCGAGGTTAGTAGATGTTTATTGTTAGTGGCGGCCTGACGTTTCGACGTGTCCGTCTTCTTCAGAGGCCTAAAGTGGTAAGAGATTTAATTTTATGTCCTACCCCACCACAAACCTCCTCCATATCCGACCAGCCTCGACTTTACCCCCCAAAGTGTTACAAGCAAAAATACGCAAGCACGTGAAAGACGAACCAACCTCCTCCGCCGCTGCCGCCCAGATGTTAGATGCGGCCGTCCTTCGTGCCACTAGTAGTAATAATGAATACAGTGTAAACTATATTGACATTATTTACTAGTGGGACTCTTCAACTCACATAATGCCATAAAGGGCATAAAGTCATTCGTGATTGATGGACACTCATTTCGGCTGTTCATGCATGGGTTTCTCGCGAAAATCCAGAATGCCTCGAGAGCTTTTCTGCTAGCAGTATCGTACTCGTATGCCAGTATAGTACATTTGATTTCGAAGTTCTTACCACGATGAAATTCAACTCTGTGTTTACCGAGTGGTGTGGTAAGACTTCCCCGTCTTTTGCTGGCAAAATGTTCTTTCATCCTTACCCATAGAGGCCTTCCAGTCTCTCCGATATAAGTGGCTTTGCATTCGATGCATGTAATCTCATAGATTACACCGGTCTTACCACAATCGCCAACTTTACCGGATGGACAAACTACACAGTCTTGGATTCTGCAGTAGTTGTCATATAGTCTGTTACGCACTAGCCGCTTCCTGATGTTGTCACTTGGAATATCAACTAAAATGATATCGTCTTTCAAGTTTGCACGGTTAACGCATCGTCGCACTGCAGCACTAGTTGCGTCAGAAACGAAAGGAAGGCAAAGAGGTATTTTCTGTTGGTGCTGGTTGCTTTGAATAGAAATGGATGGTCCACCGCGTCCTTTTTGGTGCGCGTAACCATTCATTCGAGCAATGTCCAGCGCCCATCTTTGAGATTCCTTCCGTTCTTCTTCTCCTGTGCATACGTTCGTTGCTGTTTTGAGCATGTTACGAATAACAGCTCTTTTAACAGCGATCGGATGTGCAGAACGAGCATTAATTAAGATGTTCTTGGAAGTCTCCTTACGATACCATTTTACACTCGCAGCGCCGTTGAACAGTTTGATCTGTACGTTTATGTACTATACTGGCATACGAGTACGATACTGCTAGCAGAAAAGCTCTCGAGGCATTCTGGATTTTCGCGAGAAACCCATGCATGAACAGCCGAAATGAGTGTCCATCAATCACGAATGACTTTATGCCCTTTATGGCATTATGTGAGTTGAAGAGTCCCACTAGTAAATAATGTCAATATAGTTTACACTGTATTCATTATTACTACTAGTGGCACGAAGGACGGCCGCATCTAACATCTGGGCGGCAGCGGCGGAGGAGGTTGGTTCGTCTTTCACGTGCTTGCGTATTTTTGCTTGTAACACTTTGGGGGGTAAAGTCGAGGCTGGTCGGATATGGAGGAGGTTTGTGGTGGGGTAGGACATAAAATTAAATCTCTTACCACTTTAGGCCTCTGAAGAAGACGGACACGTCGAAACGTCAGGCCGCCACTAACAATAAACATCTACTAACCTCGGTCGGCTTACTAACATACTAACACATATACTAACAATGCCGAGGTTTACGAAAGAGGAAACCTGGAAGCTACTAATATGTTCTGTGTTATCACCGAAATATTAGGTTGGCACACAAGTAATGCAACTTTCTAGACGACTTTTTTTGGACGTAGCGCCTTCATTTCCTGACAATGTAAAGATTATGATGTAAACTGCAAATGCAGACATTTTTGCCAAATTTTGCCATCTTATGTAAGTGTTACGGTAGGTTTATGGTACAACGGATAATTTTTTAGATTGCATCAAATTTTGCTGGAACTTGGCGTGGAGGGTTGTTCGACATGCTGATCACAAAAATATGACCCGTTTTGCATGAAAAGGTCTCTTTCGTAAGATCCAAAAATGGATGTTATCTTAGCGACAAATGAATATGATATTCGTGTTTACAGTAATGGATTGCTCTATTGTGCAAAGTTTTAGCGAATTACGAGGTTCCGCAGCTTAGTTATTAACAGATTGCCTTCAAAACTTGATGCATTTGACTTGTCCTACTTCTCATAGGCGCCTTATATTCGCTGGTATTTGAATTTTACTTCTTTTTTACTGATTCGAATGTGTCAACTTCTACCTACATCCTATCTATGACTCCTTTTTGATGTGTTTGATTCAGGTTTTGTACGGCTTCACGTTTGCCAAAAAAAAAAACCGTGAAATCTCGATTTTCAACAGTTTTGGAAAAAGTTGAAATTTTTTCAACTACTTTATCAGTAATTGAACCGTTTGCACAGACTTGCAGCACACGTCACATTCTACATGATACCAGAGCCTCCCCCCCCCCCTCGAGAACGGGTCGTGAAATTTTTGAAATTTACTTACATAGGTTATAAAAATGTGCAATTGACTTGCTTATTTTTGTAAATATTAGGTCGTTCCGAAAGTTCT